ACTGAATTTGTTTTAAGCGCTTAATTAAAAACGTGTACTAATAGCAGCTTAAACTATAATTCTGGTGTTGGGAATTATAAAGACTCGATATTTTTAGATGAAACTTTCAGAACAATTACAGATATAGTTTACTTAAATCCGTAATTTTTCTTACAACTACCTAAAACCATAACAACCTTAAAAAGTTTACGTAAACCATTTAATTAGTTTTGGCGTTAAAAAGTTTTTTTTTTTAGTTAAAACCTCAGATGCGTTAAGGGACAAGCCATATTTTCAGAAAATACAGATTATCAAGGACACTTGTCTTTAAGATACGTTAAGGTTCCACCAAGAAAATGTATATGGTAGAAAATACTATCTGGCCTTGACCATAATTCAATTTAATTTCAGATCGTGCAAAAGCCGCTTAAGTCAAAGCTTTAAAGAACAGTCTAAAACCGTGTAGATATTTAAGTTCTCTTTTTAAATCGATTGAAAAAATAAATTACAATGTCTCAAAATGAGATCGCTGTTGTAACCCTGAAAAGGAAAGAATATTATACAAAGTTATTGATGCTTGCCCTTTTATTTATTTTATAGCTCTTTGTAAAATTGTTTAGACAATGTACAATATTATACATAAGCTTAATGGGTTAGGCTGTTGACTTAATTTTTTCTCTAATATTTGAATAATTTTAAAAATCAAATTAATCGGATTTATGTAGGATAAAGGTTATCTGGACGAGTCTATAATTATGTAATTACAGTATGGTTTATGTACAATCAGAGTGCATGTATCATTGTTAGGATACGGATTAGAAGTAAGTTTAACCTTGTATTTTACGATTTAAAAGTGAATATTTAAAAGTGACTGAAAATGCTCCTATTATTGGATATTTGTCAAGTTATCTAATTCGAAAGAATTAGCATATAGGATGTGGGCGAACATGCGTATTTTTGAGTTTCAGGACCTATAATTATGTACTAGCTTTTTACGGACAAAAACTCGCCGCCGCCTGCAAAATTTACCATTGCACACGCTTTCTCAACGTCATTGTTTTCAATTTACAGTCATAAAAAATTTGCTGATTTTTATTAGGATAACGAATGAAGAAGTTACTCAGATCTGCGATGTAACGTATAACATCTTTCTCGGTTCGACCAGGTAATACTGTGATGGATATTTCCCAGTCATATTGCTGTCTGACAGTGCTTTAGAACAAGACAAAGAAGCACTCCTCAGATTGATTTTAGAAAGATAATAGGGCAGTTTACTTATAGATATGCTGGATGGAAGTAACGACAGATGAAGTTTTTCGACACAATTTACGATGAATTTTGATAGAGAACCATCTCCGAATCAATCTCATATTGATAAGTGATAAGTCACTTTAGAACGTTTTACACAAATTAATATTTAGATTCGGAATGTCTCTTTTCTAACATGGTGTCTTGATGTATAGTGGAACCATTGGTATAAAAGTTTGGTTGATGGACCTATACAGTGGCGGAGCCAAAGGGGGGTCCCCCCCCCCCGGACATAAACCTGGTTCCGCCACTGGACCTATACTCTTGTAAAGATAAAGAAGTGTTAGTGTTGTTTGGTGGTATCTGCCAAAATAGATATGGATCCATTAAGGGTACTCCCTAACTGACATATAAATAAAAGGAATTGTAAAGAGGTTTTCTAAAACAAAATTACTTGTATCGGTAGCATCAATTTGCATCATTGCAATTTTTCACCAGATGTCTGTGGTTTCTGTAATTCCACTAGAGGGCTGATCAAAAATTGGAATGGTGCAAATTGATGCTATCAGTGTCCCCGATACACATGTTTTTTTTTTTAGAAAAAATCCCTTAAAAGTGCGTCTATGCCATCAGAAACAGAATCGTGCACAAAGTGCACACATGGCTTGACACATTCACACTGTGTGACATCAATATGAAAAACTAACAAGGAAAACAGTTACTTGTTATTTATGAAAATTTAGTATTTGTGAGGTGTATTGTTATTTTGGTAAACCGCAACTGAGCACCAAGAAAAAACCACCAAGTTTGGTCTACACCCATGATTTGATGTATGTTCATCATATAAGGTCATGTTTTGGAGAAATCTCGAATTTTCAAGTAGGTAATGAGAGGAATGAGTCTTTATTTTAAAAAAATATGTTTTACCCTTTTTACCATTATTGTTTTAAGAAACTTGTATGCTTATCTTTTTTTGCAGTTAAGATGAATTCAAGGTTTTGTGGAGAAATGGTACTGTTTCTAATATTTTGTTTAGTTCCAAGCATCATGGCTGCTGGTCCAGCTCTTGGTGAGGCATATTAACACAAGTTTCGAATAATAATAAGTACAGGCTTTGAGATAGTTTCAGGCAAAGTGATAAAACACTCTCTGAAAATTGAATAAGTTAGAAAAGAAGTCGTTGATTGAAGGTCATACAATGACGAAATCGTCATTCCATCGCACAGTGGTAACTTTCCAAATTGGAGATTATTGCCAAATATCTCGCATTGCATATAATTTAAGCTAGTGTAAATGGCATGCAGTAAGAGAATGAGACAAACTATACCACCATCACATCATCACAATGTCAAGCTTTGATGAACTTTGTACTTATACCTTGACTGCAATGTCTGCAATAACCACCTATCTGGTTTCATGGAAGATTGTAAATGGAGCGATTTGATTGGACTGTACACTAGCGAATACGGCCAATCAGATAGAAAATCTGCGAACACAAAGCCACAATGTTACAGCATTTCACTCGAGGGCTCTTATTTGCTGTATTCGCTAGTGTACAATCCATCATTCCATGCATTCCATGATACGATATAAGTTGCAGTCAAGGTATAAGTACGAAGTTCGTAATAGTTTGACATTGTGAAGGTGGCACCAACATACTGTAGCCTATTAATAATGAAGATTCTTTTCAGATTGTAATGGCGAAGCAGATGTTGTACTAGCTATACCAGCATCTCGAACACAAGTACCACAAAGTGAATTTGATCTGTATGAAGATTTCTTGATAGACATGGTGAATTATTATACCGTCAAGAAGGACAGAACCAATGTAGGTTTAATAATTTATGGAAGCGAACCAATGGTCATGAACGGATTGATGCCGAGCTTGAATAAAAGAGACATTTTTACTAGGATATCTCTTATGGCACAGCGCGAGCTATATCACTTTATGGCCGAGGGATCCAATGTAGTCAAAGCTATGGATTCTATCATCAAGCTACATACAGATAGTAAACGCAAGGTTCCCAAAATTGGAGTCATCTTAACTTATGGATCCGATGATTTATCTGGAATCACCAATATGGCTATACGAGGTGCCGTGATGAAGGCTGGTGAACGAGCTCGGGCAGCAGGAATCACCATGTTTGCGGTAACAGCCGGTGGATTCT